TAATAAAACAGCAACAAATACTACAATTCAACTACTCCTACAACTATCTCAAAATATATACAACTTAATTTGGAAACCATACTGCGCAAAGTTATCAAGCTGGAAATAAGAACACAATATACCTACCCATATAAACAGAAATCAAATTAGTCAAAACACAACATCTACATTTAGTAATAATTCATAGTTAAGAATACCATATACCTACAGCTGTAGCTATAGTTTATCTGACCAACAATACATAGACAATGACTGTCTACCTTTTGGAAAAGTAACTAAAAAAGTATATACATGGCTAACTTCTTGAATAAAATATAGCACACCTATTAACAATATTATAAATTATAGAATCTAGGTGAGTTTTTAACTACTCTAGTAGGTTTAAATTGCAGATAAATTAGATTTTAATATCTATAGTCTAAGTTTCATTCTTGTAAAAATATTTGTAATTATTGGTCTTATTGATCAGAGAATCTCCTAGTGAATTCTCAATACAAATTATTTAATAAAGATAAAGGCAAAACCTCACCTTAAAAAAAAAAAAAAAAAAAAAAAAAAAAATATATATATATATATATATATATAATTATATAATATAGTATGATAATATGAGATAACAGCATAATAGTACGGTGGCAATTTTTTGCCAGAATTAGCAGTTGGCTGTCATGTGCTGCTTCGCGGCATATGACAAACAACTGTTAACTCCGGCAAAAAATTGCCGCCGTACCATGCTGTATCTCAGAATTATCATGCTATATTGGTATTATAGCATGGTGGTTATTGATCATGAGCATTGCACTATTTATGTTTTTAAAATAACTTTTTAACTCATATGTGTTGCGTTATCAAAATATAATATAAATATTATAAAGTAGTTTATTTATTAATTTATACGCTCTTTCTTAAATTTTTTTTATAAATTTTTTCTTGTCAAACGATGCCAAAAGAAAGTACCAAACGTTTTATACAGCCAAATCAAAATGAAATAAACTTTTTTTTACAAAAATCTGTTGTTAAAAACACTGAAAAAACTACAAATAATTGGATATTACAATTTGAACGATATAGAAAAGAAAGTGGATACCAATTTCAACTTCATGAAGTACCATCGCTTACTGAATTAAAACAAGTTCTAGTTTTTTATTTTACCCAAGCAAAAAAGAAAAATGGTTTAGATTATATGATTGCATCAATTCGATTAGCAATTAATGCATTTACATGTTACCTTAATGAAAAATCCAATCTAAAACCTGTTGATCTTCTTGATCGTTACAAATTTCCACAGTTGCACAAACTTCTTGAAGGAAAAGTATGATATCTTGCTAAAAAAGGATTAGGTAAAACTAAAGGATCGGGTGGTTTGAGTTTAGAAGAAATCAAAAAAATTCTTGATCATTATTCTACATTTATTGGACATCCATGGGGATTATTAAAACAGTTGTTTTTTTGTAATGCTGTATTTCTTGGATTACAAGGTGGAGAGCACTTTTCATTAAAAGCATCAAGTTTTATTAAACAGCAAGATGGAAATTATGAAGTTGTAATTTATAAGAGTAAAACAAATC